TGGGGGGGAAAGGAACCTCCGGGGACTCCCGAGAGGCGATGAGCTTCGCGAGCTCGGGCCCTCTCCCGCCCCCGGGAGCCGGCAGTGCAGCTCTCCCCAGAGTCTTCCTCCTACTGAGCTCCACGAGGCGGCAGGCAGGCCGTGAACCCCTGCTCTCGTGGCTCAAATCTGTAACTTTGAGCGGACGTTTAGTTTATCCTGTTGAAAGGCACCACTTTTTTTTTTTTAATTGACAGAAACACACACACCCCCAGCTTCTCACCGAGTTGTTGGTTACTATCCACACTGTTTAAAACTGAGCTTCGTTTTTAGATTAGATTATGCATCTTCAGTTTCTAGTACCTGGGACATATTTTGTCTTTTTCTAATAAATTAAGAGATGTTTATTCTACTAAAGATCCAAAATGTCCCACATGGAGGGTGGCGAGCTGATCTATCAGATCCCCTGCTACTCTTCTCTCCACCGAGTGGGCCCGTTTGTGCTGCTGAGTTTTCTGAACGCTAAAATGTTGGTGGCCAACTTTTAGCAGATCAGATTTTAGGAAATAAAATGGTTTAAGACCTATTTTAATATTGCATAGATTTCTCCTGTAAACCCTTTTATTCAAGTGTATTGTTGCTGCTGCTGTACATGGAATGCTAATACTCAAACAGAAAAAAAAAAACCATATTTAGCATAGTTGTAGGGGTTTTTTTTCTTTGCTAATTAATGAATCGTTTGTTTCAGAATCCAATTACAACATCATTAGCATCAATAACAAAGCTCCTGAACATCGCTAAAAGTTACACCAAGTTCAAGTCCTGCCTGCATATGAAGTGTTGTGTTTTCCTGTTCTTTCCCTGAAATTTAGCTCGTACTCTTGTGGCTGTACGCACACCAGTTCACCAAACGAGCATCAGTTACAGAAGGCTATGCTTGTATTGCACATATTTCAGGTTAGAAAGAGCAGGCTGAGCCAGACATGGAAATCCATTGGAGGGCAGCATGCTTGATGTTTGGGGATTTGTTTTTTGGCAGAGCTTTCCAAAAATGAATTGTTTCCCTTTCAAGAATAGGCTATAATCCATCAGCTTCTTGAAATTCAGATTTTCAGCTGAGACTTTAAATGAGAGGCTTCAAACAGTTCAGCTCAGCGACTGAAGGGCTGATCAGTAATCTGATCTTTGTTCTTCAGGGTGAAAATCTTGGACTACTTCAACACAGCTGTCAGCAAAATCCTGAAGCAAGTCAGAATATCTTGTTTAGAGATTTTGGTAGATCCTTATTTAAATTTTAAACTTAACAAGTAAGTTTGGGGCATTAAAGTGTGTCAAATTTGCAGTGGTCTTTGAAGTATTTTTGAAGCATTTGTATTTTGAAGTCAGACAACAGCTTCTATTTCCCTTTCAGAAATATGCTTTATCTACATAACGTAATAGATCTGTTAAAATTGCCAAATCTGGGATGCCATGAGCACATGAGTCAGTGTAATCCATGCAGTCACTCATCATCCACAAGTAATTTGAGGGCATTCAGATAAAAATACATGATACTGTAAAAAAAGTGATTACTTTATAAATACAGCCAGTATTCTGCAGTGAAGTACCAGATTCCTGAAAAGATATGGGCTGATCTGAAGCATCAGAAGGTGCAGAAGAATATAGATTACCAAGTATTTACCTTTTTTTGTATGAGTTGCCCTGTTTACAAATACCTCCAAGGGTAAGACCTGAAGGATTTAGTTCCATGTGTGTCAAACACTTTTTAAGACAAAAAAAATATATATTTCTTTCTCCACCTATCTATCAAGACTGAAAAGCAGAATTCTGTAGAACATCTAGAACACACAGATGCCCTAGAGCAGCTTGACTTAAAGCAATCCTGGTGAAAACTAAGTACTTGGCTGGATGCCAGGTGTCCACCAAAGCTGCTCTATCACTCCCCTTCTCAGCTGGCCAGGGCAGAGAAAATATAATGAAAAGCTTGTGGGTCAAGATAAGGACAGGGAGACATCACTCAGCAATTACCATCATGTGCAAAACAGACTCAACTTGGGGAAAATTTAATTTATTGCCAATCAAATCAGAGCAGGGTAATGAGAAATAAAAGCGAAATCTTAAAACAGTTTTCCCCCACCCCTCCCTTCTTTTTGGGCTTAACTTTACTCCCAAATTCTCTACCTCCTCCCCCCACAGTGGCGCAGGGGGACGGGGAATGGGGGTTGCGGTCAGTTCATCACACACTGTCCCTGCTGCTCCTTCCTCCTCAGATGGGAGACTCCTCACACTCTTCCTCTGCTCCAGTGTGGGTCCATCCTTTCCATGGGGTGCAGTCCTTCAGGAACAGATTGCTCCAGCGTGGGTTCCCCATGGGGTCACAAGCCCTGCCAGCAAACCTGCTCCGGTGCGGGCTCCTCTCTCCACAGATACTGCCAGGACCCTGCTGCAGTGTGAGCTTCCCATGGGGTCACAGCCTCCTTCCGGCATCCACCTGCTCCAGTGTGGCGTCCTCCCCGGGATGCAAGGGGAGATCTGCTCCACCATGGAGCTCCATGGGCTGCAGGGGAACAGCCTGCCTCGCTATGGAGCACCTCCTCCTGCTCCCTCTTCACTGACCTTGGTGTATGCAGAGTTGTTTCTCTCACATATTCTCACTTTTCTCTTTTGGCTGCTGCTAGTCTTGTGCAGGTTTTTTTCTGCTTCTTAAATAAGTTATCCCAGAGGTGCTACCACCATCGCTGACTGGCTTAGCCTTGGCCAGCAGCTGGTCCATCTTGGAGCCGAGACATAGAGGAGGCTTCTAGCAGCTTCTCTCCACTCCTGCAGTCCCTCCGCTACAAAAACCTTGCCACGCAAACCCAATACTCTTGTTAGCAATTACTGCTGCAGGAGGAACATAGTAACTGAAGTGCCTTAAAGTAAATCCCCAAATCAGAAAACTTTATCTTTCAAAATGCATTTGCTATTTTAGGACTCTTGTCCTGGTTCACCTGTTCCATTAAAAATTATAGCAGGTTGATGAATGTAGTATCTTGCCCGTTGGTTGGGGTTAGACAGGTTTATCTGATCTTAATAATATTTTTCTGATCTTAGTAACATACCTGTCATACTTTACTTTATGCAGAACTCTGTTTATGTCAGAGGTGTGAGGTCTCCTAAACTGACTGTGTCTTTTAAGCGAAAGCACCTTTCTAGAGAAGGTCTTGCCCAGTGATGGCACAATGCAAAAATGCCGTAAGCCTGTACTTTGAGAAATACCCTGTCAGGATAAGCATTAGTATATACAGGATCTATTAGTGCATTCTCTCATTTTAAATGTTAAACCATTTTATCACTTACTCATTCCAGAACCTAATTTTATTTACTGTACCATCTATATGTCAGATGCTGACCTTGAGTATGCCTTTTTAACACGCAGTAAAGTCTTTGAGAAGTATCTGTGACTCTTAAAAACTTAATTCAAACAGTATGACAACTGTGCAATCTGATCAGAAGGACAGACAACCAGCTTGAGCAACTTACATCCCAAACCATTTCTTCTGCTGGCAAGGCCAGTCTAAAGTGTCTGTGGAGCAATATAGTAAGAAAAACAAGTCTGGTTTGGGTCTGCTTCAATAAACTTTACAAAGGCTTCTAAACTGACTCAGCCAGGCAAGACAGAATGCCAACTAAAAAACCTATCAGGGAGTAATAGAGGAGAAGGCTTCTGCTCTTCCAGAAGCAGACTGTTGTCATTGCTAAGTGGGTAGGACTGGTTTTGGAGCTGTCACCTCTGACACGGCCAGTCCCTCATCCCCTTCATTTCCAGGCTGTAATCGTGGCTGCCTGTCCAGGGCCAAATCACTCATACCCTTTTAATCAAAGTAATTTACCTCTAGGTAAAAGTATTCTGGAGGTGTCTGCTTCCTATGAAGTCTACTAAGCTGCACAAGAAAGGAACAAGGAAGCTCTCTAGCGTAAATGCCAGCTTTGATACTGACTTCTTTTTCAGTCTTAGGTAAAAAAGTCTGTTTTCCACAGTTTCCAGGTACTGGTCAGGTCTGATGTGTGTCAGATGGCAAAGAAAATTTGTGGCCACTTAATGTGATTTGAGAGCACATGCTGCACCAGATGATAGAAAATGAATGGAGCTAATGCTTCTTGATCTCTGGTAGTAAATCTGTGTTTCATTTTCCAAGAAATATAATGAGGATAATCCTAATTTATCAGATAAAATTAATCTTCCTGGTGTCTACCAAGGCAATTAATGTTGACACAATATTTTGTTAGGAGAGTTAACTAATATCAACTAGTTAAGAAATCTATCTAATAGTAGCCTAATTGTTCTTTTGCGGCAGATGTAACAAATTAAACTATTTGGTTAATAAGTTCCTAATAAAAATGGGATAGCAAAAACTCCACGAAAATGAAAATACAATTTTAAGTTCAAAGACTTGACAGTTATTGACATTTTGAAACAAACAAACAAAAAATTAAATAAAAGCTAGAGGTAATCTCATAGCTGGGTTCTACCCCTCAGCCTTGAAACTCATCGTGGTAATGATTTCTTCCTGAACTGTCTGAAAAGTGTCTTCCAGATTTGCATATTTCTTTAATCTCTTTTAGATTCATGGTTTTCCTTACATGACTTTTAGCTTTATCACAAATACTATTCTCGTAATAGACAGTCACAGAAAGAAGGCAAGCAAGGACTATCTCTTGGAATTATTTTCTGACTTTCTGATGAGGTGCTTTTACTTGTGCTTCTTTTGTACTTGTGCACATGCTGTTTCCTTATTCTATGTCATTTGACAGAAAACTGACAGCTAGCAGTTCTTGAAAATCTCCTTGAAGTCATCAATTCTCTACCTACCACTATCTTGCATCTTCAGCTGCCTCACCAGTATCTCTTTCTAGATAACCTTTATTCACATGTAACTTAAAAACAAATTCTTCATCTTTCTGTATACCCTCCCTTTTTCATTAGTTCCTCTAGCATCTATATTAATCAATGCTGTCACCCTAACATATTTTGTAGTTCTTTTCCTTCCTTTTGTTCCCTCTTTGCCCGTCTGCAGCACATGCCAATATGCTGCCCATTTCATTTCTATGTTATCTCCAAAATCTGTGTCTTTGAATTCCCATTGTGAAAAGTTTTGTCAAGACTCAATACTACTCTAATTCCATGTAAAAGATTCCCATGGTCATCCCTTTGGAATCTATCCAAATTACTGATATCATTTGGATATCATTTGTTTCCAATTCCCGACTTCCTTTTAAGCCACACTAAGATTTCATATCCTGACATTCCAGGCCTTCTAAAGTTTGGAAATTTCCACATCTAGTTTCTTTCCTATGCTTTCATTCTTCTAACTCATAACAGTTTTAACTTACTTTTGTATCTCCCTTTCCTTCAGTCACTTTTTTTTTTCATATTTCTCCTCTTTAAATTCCTTCCTAAGAAACTAGCTAAAAGGTCTAAATCCTCTACCTTCACCTGGTAAGATCAGCTTGTAATCATTAAAAAAATCTACAGACAAGGAGTGTATCTGTTGCCATTATTGATGCTATCACTGTTCAGATAATAAACAAGTAAAAGATTTTTGTATCGGTCATAAACCAGTGTATTTGAACTACATCTTACCCTTAATTTATGCTTCTTATTAATTCAATTGATATTTATCATGATAATATGACCACCGTTAATTTATTTAATATTCATGTGGATATGCAATTTTATACATAACTACAGGATTTTTCTTATAATTCAGGTCTAATTGTAATTAAAGCATTATCCATATATTTCAACTACAATGGAAGAAGTCCATGACATGCTGAAATGGATATTCAGTATTATATGGGAATAAGAAGTACACTCTCCCAAATCTTACATCATCTGCAAGTTGCAATATGCTTTATCTTTGTTATCATCATAATATGCAACTAATGTAGATTATATTGTTCTGCGCTGTTATTGACCTATGTAGAACTAAAAAGTGAAAAACCTGGTGAAAAATCAGAATCTGCAACAGTAAGACATATTTAGAAGAACTTTTCTGCTTTGGTACTAAATTACCATACTGATAAATATTACTACATTTTATATTTTCAGATCTGTAGATGAAGTCAGAAAAATAGAGTACAAAGCTGCTGTCAAAATCCAGAGCTGGTTTCGAGGATGCAGAGTCCGAGCCTATCTGAGGTAGCATATTAAGCCTATTTTAACCCGTATTTCTATCTTGATTTTCCCAAAATTTCTCGTGGTATTACTTGATTTTAATAAAATGGGAGCATTTGGAAAAAAAACCAAACCTGTTATTTTCCTTTTGAATAGAATTTAATATATGCCGTGCCACTGTAAGAAAGAACAGTTTATGATTTTCAGAACTGCATAAAATTAAAACGGCATGATGCTAATAAGCATCATGGAAATAATCCATCTTCAGAATAGATGCACAGTATTGTTTAAGAAACCTTGGCATGACTGGGAAAAAAACCCCATGTCCCTCAGATATACTGTTAGCAGAGACTTCTTTTATCTCTGTTATTGTTGACATTACAGAAAAATTGCCTAGTGAGTGTATGATAATTGGACTCATTGTAGAAAATTAAGTTGTACTGCTGGATCTGACCAGGTAATTTTAAAAATCTTTCTTTATGTAATTTTCTCCATTTCTAAAGTAGAGATCATGTACAACTACTTTGTTCTGTAAAATGCCATATAGACATTCATATAAATTTTTTGGAAACACTATGATTGGTCCTTTCTCCCAGGAGGCCCTCCACCATTTTTTATGATCATAAGCCCAGTTGGTCAAACTCATATGCTTGAATTTCTGTATCTTCATAAAAATTAAGGCTGCGAGGGATAGGGGTTGTTACATCTTCTAGTTTGACCTCTACTTGCCTGTAGCAAGTAATTTTGTATCATCCAGACATACTGTAGCAAGCCTAAAGAATTATTAGGTTGAACAACATTAATCACTTAATGGCCAATATTTCCCTCATAAAAAGATAGGCTACAGCCATTAGGTGCACTTGTTAAAAAAAGCACTGGTAATCTGTTTCCCATTGCTGGTTCAAG